AGGAGGTCAAGACCAGCCTGGCCAATGTAGTGAAACCTCATCTCTACTAAAAACACAAAAAATTAGCTGGGCGTGGTGGCGTGTGCCTGTAATCCCAGCTACTAGGGAGGCTGAGGCAGGAGAATCGCTTGAACCCAAGAGGCAGAGGTTGCAGTGAGCTGAGATCGCACCATTGCACTCCAGCCTGGGCAACAAGAGCGAAAATCCATCTCAAAAAAAAAAATCAGGCCAGGCGCAGTGGCTCAAGCCTGTATTCCCAGCACTTTGGGAGGCCGAGACGGGTGGATCACGAGGTCAGGAGATCGAGACCATCCTGGCTAACATGGTGAAACCCCGTCTCTACTAAAAAATACAAAAAACTAGCCGGACGAGGTGGTGGGTGCCTGTAGTCCCAGCTACTCTGGAGGCTAAGGCAGGAGAATGGCGTGAACCCGGGAGGCGGAGCTTGCAGTGAGCTGAGATCCAGCCACTGCACTCCAGCCTGGGCGACAGAGCCAGATTCCATCTCAAACAAACAAACAAACAAAAAAAATCAAATCAAAAAAGAACAAAACCAGCAGACCTTGCCCTTGTCCTTCCTCTCTCGCTTCCCACTCCCTAGACCATGAGGAATGGATTTGGCTATTCCTTCTATTTGCTTTCTTACTCCCAAATAATACGCGCTCAGCGTGGCCGCCTGCTTCCTCCATTTTGGGCCCTGTCTAGTGGCTTCTCATCGTGGCTGATGAGAATTTGAGCACCTGTCACCTCCGGTCCCCTCTCCCAGTCTCCCAGCTGAGGTTAAGTCAAGTTGTTGGGGTCAAATCCAAGTTCTGTTTTCATTATTGTGACTATATTATTTATTGGTGAGTCAAGTGGGATACTTCGATTATAACACGGGGCACGTGGTAAGACTACATTCCCCAGTATCCACGGATGAAATAACAGGACGTCTGGGTTTGCTTTACAATAATCTTAGGGGAGGGAGGGATCTGCTTATGAATTGAACAACACTGACCAAGTGGATTGATGATTGTTGAAAGTGGGTGGTGCATTCATGACCGTTTTATTAATCCACCTTCACATTTGTGTGAGATTTTCCATAATAAAATTTTTGCTGGGTGCAGTGGCTCACACCTGTAATCCCAATACTTTGAGGCCGAGCCTGTAGGATTTCTTGAGGCCAGGAGTTCAAGACCAGCCTGGGCAACACAGGCTCTGCCTCCGCAGTAAATTTAAAAATCAGCAGGGTGTGGTGGCACATGCCTGTGCTTCTCGCTATTCTGGAGGCTGCGGTGGGAGGACCACTTGCACTTGGGAGGTCAAGGCTGTAGCGAGTTATGATTGTGCCACTGTACTACAGACTGGGCAACACAGCAAGACCCTTCTCAAAAAAAATCCAAAAAACAAGTTTTAATAGTGGTCTCAGGCAGACCCTCTATGTGATAAACTCTTCATCTTTGGATGTTTGAGAATACTGCTGCTTACCCCTTCACTTTGTTTCGGTAATTCTGCCCAGTTTCAAACTCTGACTGCAGCCCACAGCTGAAATATTTTATATCACAACCCAGCATGCACACACTATATTTCATCAATTCTGCTGTGAACATTTTTTCATATTTTGGTATCTTAAATTAGGATGTGTCTTATAAGCAATGATACTGAAGGAAATCAAGAGATTTTACTCCAGGCCGGGCACGGTGGCTCACACCTGTAATCCCAGCACTTTGGGAGGCCGAGGTGGGCAGACTGCTTGAGCTCATCAGTTCGAGACCAGCCTGGGCAACATGGCAAAACCCCGTCTCTACAAACAGTACAAAAATTAGCCGGGTGTGGTGGTGTGTGCCTGCAGCCGCAGCTACTCAGGAGGCTGAGGTGGACAGATGGCTTGAGCCTGGGAGGTGGAGGTTGCAGTGAGCTGTATGATCGCACTGCTGCGCTCCAGCCTAGGCGACAGAGCAGAGCCAGACTCTGTCTCGACCACAACAGAAACATTTACCCCAAACTGTACTTTTGACATTTTTTTGAAATGGCTGTTATAGGGCCAATAGATGAAGGGTCCCTGCAAAGCTGTCCACTGTCAGGGCAATTTGCATCTGTGGAGAATCTCCATTACTGCACCCAGGCCCGAGAGATTAACTGAAATAACACCTTGAAAGGTCTGAAGAGAGCCACTTATCATCTCTGACAACTTCTACTTGTGAGGTTTCATCTACCTAATAAGACCCCGTTTGCAAGCCAGACCTCTTCCTCCCGTCTTCCCAGAACCTCATTTGCCAGGATCCAAGCCCTCATTCATTCTGTGGCCTCAAGACCTGACAGTGGTGCTACCTCATCTCTTCAGGATCCCTATTCAGACCTTTCTCCAGTTGGTCTTGCACTCCTGGGCTCTAGTGATTCCTCCCACCTCAGCCTCCCCAAGTAGCTGGGACCACCGGTGCGCCCCTGGCTGCGTGCTTCTTTTACAAGCATGGGTGACCCAGCCCAGCAGGTTGGTAGCTGCAGGCCCACTCAGCACTTTGCATTCCTCTTCATTTCTGGCTCACAGAGATATCACCTTTTTTTTTTTTTATGGAGTCCCACTCTGTCTCCCAGGCTGGAGTGCAATGGCACGATCTCAGCTCACTGCAACCTTCACCTCCTGGGTTTGAGCGATTCTCCTGCCTCAGCTTCCCAGGTAGCTGGGATGACAGGCGCCTGCCACCAGGCCTGGCTAATTTTTGTATATTTATTAGAGATGGGGTTTTACCAGGTTGGCCAGGATGGTCTCGGACTCCTGACCTCAAGTGATCCACCTGCCTCGGCCTCCCAAAGTGCTGGGATAATGGGCATGAGCCACCACGCCTGGCCACCAGTTTGTTTTTGTTTTTGTTTTTGTTTGTTTGTTTGTTTGAATTTTAGTAGAGACGGGGCTTCACCATGCTGGCCAGGCTGGTCTCAGATTCCTAACCTCAAGTGATCCGCCTGCTTCGGCCTCCCAAAGTGCCAGGATTATAGGCATGAGCTACCGCGCCCAGCCTCCAACTATTTCTGAGCACAGCTATACTCATTGCTTTGCAAATTTTACACTGTATGTGTAATTTCTCTGTGGCCAGCCTCAGTCTCTGCCACACATTGTCCTGCGGAGCACAATGGGCATGTGGAAGAGTGCGCTGCCCCTTTCTCCCTGGGAGCCACTCTGAAGCAGCCCGCTCTGCCCCGGCAGCAGACTGGTCTTTCTAAGCCACGAACACTGCCCTCCTGCTGCAAAGTCTGCAGTGAGCTCTGGCTTTCCTTCTCTGTCAAATGGAAGCAATGATATCCACCTTATTGGCAGAAAGTAGACTCATGGCTGCTCAGGCTGGTGGACAGGGGATGGAGGGGGACTGGCTACTCGGGCTGGCGGACAGGGGACGGAGGGGGACTGGCTGCTCGGGATGGCGGACAGGGGACGACGGGGGACTGGCTGCTCAGGCTGATGGAGAGGGGACGAAAGGGGACTGGCAGTTGATGAGTAGGGTTTCTTTCTGGGGGAGGGTAAATGTTCTAAAATTAGGCTGTGGTGACGGTTATACAACCCTGTGAATATGCTACAAAAAACCCCCAAAACACTGACTGTACTGAATTGTATGTGAATTATATGTCAATAAAGCTGGTCTTACAAAAATGATTTCCAGCTTGTAAAGCTGTTTTGAGGAAAAAATGGAATGCCCTGCCTGAAAAATCTCATCGTGGTAGCTCTTCGAATGTGAGGCCCCTGTTTCCGGGTACGCCTGCCCCGTTTATGCCCTATTTGGCCTCCAATACCCACATTTGTTACGCTCAGTCAAGATGTCTCCTTTTGGAGCCCTCTCCAGGGCCCTTTCACTCATCTGCCTTTCAAAGCTGGATTGCCTGTGAGGAAGGCTGAGTTCTGATTTTTTTTGCCTTCGTGGTCCACAGCCACTATACTCCAGCCTGGATGAGAGAGACTCCGTCTTGAAAAAAAAAAAATGTGTATATATATATATATATAGCAATATATTTTTCCTTACAGTAACATGATTATAAGACATAATTTGTACTTTTTTTCATGGAGCAAGGGGCTCACATATGTAATCCCAGTACAGGAGGGCCACTTATGATGTATTCATTATTGAGTTAAATAAAATATTGGACATGTTTATTTTATACGTGTATGAAAGTAATGATTTTACCTTTAAAAAATGATCAACACCTGACATTTCCTTCCGCCACCCGCACTCCCAATTCATCCTCACATCTGACCGTTTAGCTTTCTAAATGCCTCTTGCATCTATCCACTTCTCCCCATCTTACCTGCCACCAGTGGTCTGCCTGAATCAGCTACATTAGGCTCTACCTGGCCCTTCTCCCATCCATTCTCCACACAGCAGCCACAGTGATCTCATTACAATTCAAACTTCATGATGTCTTATTTATTTATTCAGCGATAAATAAATAAAATTTATTTATTCGGCGAGCGGCCGGCGGGGAGGGGCTCACTATGCTGACCAGGCTGGTCTCGAACTCCTGGCCTCAGGCGATCCTCCCATGTCAGCCTCCCAAAGGGCTAGGATTACAGGCGTGGGCCACTGCGCCTGGCCCAAACTTCATGATGTCTCTTATCTGCTTAACTCCTCCAAGGACTTCCCATGTCTCCCAGAATAAAGACCGAGGTCCTCGCTGTGCTCTTTCGGCCTCTGCATGACCTGGCCTCTCTCACACCACAGCTCTGCTGCACCACCAGCCCTCTGCCATGCTGAGCTGAGCCTCCTTCAGTTCCCCTGCTGCAAGATCTTTCCTGCCTCGGGGCCTCTGAACCTGCTGTTGGCCTGCCTGGAAAATTCTTCCCTCCTTACCTTGTTTACTCCTATGGGGCCTTCACATCTTGGTTAACATGTGAATCGCCCAAAGAAACCTCTGGTCTCCCAGGGGTTCAGGTCCTACCGTCTCTCCAGTACGATGTCATGAAACTCTCACTTCTTCCTGGCATTTATCTCATTTCCCAGGTGAGTACCCATGTGGTTTAACGCTTGACTCACCTTCTAGGCTGCTAGGTCCCTGTGGCCGGGGCTCGCGTCCCTGGCACGCATGTGGCCCTTTCTGGAGGGTGCATGGTGAGCGGACAAGGACGGCTGGGAGCGCGCGAAGAGAAGATGGAGAGATGAAGAGGCTCCCCGCTCCCGGGCTCAAGGCATGCGCATCGCCTGGGCTGGCTTCCTTCCCTCGGCCCCGGGAAGCGCCGCGGATCCTGAGACCCCGCCGTGGGCTGTGTGCTTCTCAGCGCCCCTCGTCTGCCCGCGCAACGCTACTTTCGAGCGCGCTCTGCAAACTCGCCACTGGACGGGCTAGCGTTTCGCCAGCTGCTGGCTGACCCCCGGGGCTCTTGGGGGCCGGGACGCGGGAGGGGGAGGTTTCGGGGGCGGGGCCGCGCGGGGACCCGGATGCGGCCCCGCCCCCGCCCGCGGAACCGGAAGTAGAGCCTGGCGCCTGGGAGCGGCGGGCGCGGCGGGATCCAGGGCCGACCCGGACCGGACCGACCCCAGGCGGCGGTGAGCGAGCGCGGCGTCCGCCCGGGATGCAGGCCCGGCTCTGCTTCTTCCCTCCTGTGGCGTCGCCGGGCTGCGAAAGGGGAAGGAAGCAGCGGCCGCAGCGGTCTCACCGCTCTTCCGCTCGCGGTTTCGGGGGCCGGGGCAGAGTGGCGAGGCTTTCCCGGCCTGGGGCGGGGCCGGGCGAGGGCCGGGGGTCCGCGAGGGCCACGAGGACGGGTCTGGGCCCCAGGGGACAAGGGGGCACGGAAGGCTCGGGGCTGGGGTCCGCGGAGGAAGGTTGGAGAGGGGCCAAATGGGGGGTCTCAGCTCTGCGGGGAGGGTCCCTGGACCCTGGGGGCCCCAGGGCCGGAGAGGGGCCAGGCTGGGAGGGGTAGTGGGTCCGAGGGAATAGGAGAGGGGGATGGGCTCCGAGGGAGAAGGGATTGGGGCCTGAGGGGTGGGGCTGGGCCTGTGGGGTTCGGAGGTCCGAGCGGAGGAGGCCGGGGTTCGAGCAGCCGTGGAAGGTGGGTGTGGGGGGTCTCAAGGAAAGGGCGGGGGGTTTTAGAAGGAGGAGTCCGGGCGCAGAGGGAAAGGGATGAGGTCCGAGGGGAGGGGATTGGGGTCTGACGGGAAGGGGTCCAGGCGCAGGGCTACAGGGATGGGGTCCGAGGGAAGGGAACTGGAGCTCGAGGGGAAAGGGTCGGGGCGCAGAGAAAAGGGATAGGGTCCGAGGGGAGGGGATTTGGGCTCCAAGGGAAGGGATCCGTGTGCAGGGGAAAGAGATGGGGTCCGCGGGGTCAAGGCGCCTGGGGTCCACGGTTTGAGGGGCTCGCTGTGGGACGTGGGACGTGGCGGAGCAGCTGGAGATCCACCCGGCCTGTACCTGAGCGAAGGTTTTGCAATCAGGTCAATGGAGGCAGCGAGGCGCGGCTGCAGCTAGTCGTGAGGCTCTAAATTTGGAACCGTCCCTCCTTCGGGGTGTGTTTAAAAATCACCAGAACGGTGCTTTGGGGCTTTCTGTTACGTTTCCATCACCTGGATAGTCTAACGGATGCCTGATCCCCGGCGCTGGAAGGCCTCGGGTGAGAAGGGACAGGGCTTCCTCCCGCTGGAATCTGTGGACGTGTCGGGCCCCTTGGGGAGGAATTCATTTTCTGCTGAGGGAAACTCCGGAGGCATCCGAGGAGCGCTCCCAGCAATCCCATGCGCTCCCTTTGGGCTCACTGTTGACTTAGCTGCACAGGCTCTATTGGGGGGACTTCACCCACTAGGTCCTTATGGCATGATCCCGGCCGGGCCCAAGGCCGTGGTGCAGGAGGGGCTGGCCGCCTGCCCCTGTCTCCATTCCCGTGTTTGACCGTGTGGGTGAGTCACCGGCTCCAGAGCACTGAGTCAGTCCTATTTCTCCTCTGGTTAGAGAAGTATTCGCCAGATACTCAAGGAACAAGGAAGAGTCTTTTAAGTGGGACTCAATAAAAAGTTGGTGAGGCAGGGTTGTTTTGATATTAGGTCCCCTAGAACTGGAAGCTAACCCTCTGCTAAATCTTACTGAAAAGAAATATCTTTTGGCCTGGGGCGGGGGTGCGGTGGCTCCCACCTGTAATTGCTGCACTTTGGGAGACCAAGGTGAGAGGATCATTTGAGGCCAGGAGTTCCAGACTAGCCTGGGTAACGTAGGGAGACCTTGTGTCTACAAAAAAAAAAAAGAAAGAAAAAAAGAAATTCGCTGGGCATGCTGGCGTGCACCTGTTGTCCCGGTACTCGGGACGCTGAGGCAAAGGATCTCGAGCCCAGGAGTTGGAGGCTGCAGTGAGCTCGATCGCACCAGTGTACTCCAGCCTGGGTGACAGAGCGAGACCCTGTCCCCAGGCTGGAGTGCAGCAGCTCTTCACAGGTGCCGTCTATCACACTGCAACCTTGAACTGCTGGCCTTAAGCGATCCTCCCACCTCAGCCTCCCAAGTGGCTGGGACTTCAGGCCCAGCTAAAGCTGACTTTTAATTGTAGCATTTTGATGGACCTGTTTTTAAAACATTTTTAAAATGACAGTGCACATAATTGGCAATTCAGATATTCAGTATGTGCCATGCAGTAGGTGCTCTGAAAAAGGTGTCCTGAGAGTGTGAATTGCTGTGAGCGCTGGTTGCTGCCTTGTGTTGCAATATTCCCATGGCCCACCCCATCTGCTCACGCACTGCTTTGAGTAAACAGAGTAAATGTTGGGGGCAGGGTTTCCCTTGAGTAAGTGTGGTGTAGGGAGTGTGCCTGTGATGGCGATTTTGGCTAAGCAGATGTGTTTCCTTTCTCCTCCTGCTCTGCCATAGATGCTGAGGCTAATGGAAAGTTGATGCTGGATGGATGTTTCTGTCCCGTCATTTAAAATATTCTTCGGCCGGGCTCAGTGGCTCACACCTGTAATCTCAGCACTTTGGGAGGCCAAGGGCAGGTGGATTGCTTGAGCCCAGGAGTTTCGAGATCAGCCTAGGCAACATGGAGAAACCCCATCTCTATTAAAAATAGAAAAATTGGCCAGGCGCGGTGGCTCACACTAATCCCAGCACTTTGGGAGGCTGAGGTGGGCAGATCATGAGGTCGGGAGATCGAGACCATCCTGGCTAACAGTGAAACTCCGTCTCTACTAAAAAAAATACGAAAAATGTGACGGGCGCCTGTAGCCCCAGCTACTCAGGAGGTTGAAGCAGGAGAATCGCTTGAACCCAGGAGGTGGAGGTTGCAGTGAGCCAAGATCACACTATTGCACTCCAGCCTGGGCAAAAGAGTGAGACTCCCTCTCAAAGAAAAAAAAAAGAAGAAGAAAAGAAAAATTAGCTGGGTGTGGTGGTGCATTCCTATAGTCTCAGCAACTTGGGAGGCTGAGGTGGGAGGATCGCCTGAGCCTGGGATACAGAGGTTGCAGTGAGCTGAGACTGTGCCTCTGCACTCTAGCCTGGGGCACAGTGCAAGACCCTGACTCAAAAAAAAAAAAAAAAGGCTGGTGGGGGGCAGTTAGGCGTGGTGGCTCATGCCTGTTATCCCAGCACTTTGAGAGACTGAGGCTGGCAAATCACTTGAGGCCAGGAGTTGGAGATCAGCCTGTACCAACATAATGAAACCCCATCTCTACTAAAAACATAAAAAATTAGCTGAGTGCGGTGGTACATGCCTGTAATCCCAGCTACTCAGGAAGCTGAGGCAGGAAAATCACTTGAACCTGGGAGACGGAGGTTGCAGTGAGCCAAGATGGCACCGTTGCACTCCAGCCTGGGCAACAGAGCAAGACTCTGAAAAAGAAAAAAAAAAAATTCTTGTATAGAGGAATTTTTCCCTCTGTCTAGACAGCAAAATTACTTCACGTTTGTGCAGTCTGATTTGTACACTGACATTTGCAAGGAAGGTTTAATGTTGAGGTTGGACAGAGTCATCATCTTCTTTTGAACCGTATTGTAACAGCTTTATTGAGATAAAATTCACACGCCATACAATGCGCCTGTTTAATGTATACTGTCCACTGGTGTTTAGGATCTTCATGCAGTTGTACAACTATCACCACAATCAATCTCAGAATAATTTTGTCACCTCAAAAAGAAGCCCTTGTACCTTTTAGCCATGACTTCCCGATCCCCACCACCACCATCCGCCCAGCCCTGGGCAACCAGTAATGTATCTTTTGTCTCTGTAGATTTGTCAACTCCAGACAGTTCCTAGAAATTGAATCGTACAATATGTGGTCTTTTGTGCATGGTTTTCCTTTGCGTAATGGATTTGAGGTCCCTCCACACTGCAGCAGGTGTCACTGCTGGATCCTCTTTGTGGCGGAAATAATGCGTTTGTGTTAGGTAGACCACATGCTCTGTATCTATCAGTTGATGGACATTTGGAGTGTTTCCGTTTTGTGGCTGCTATGAATAGTGCTGTTGTGAACACTCATGCACAAGTTTTTGTGTGCTTATACTTTATTTCTCTTGGGCATAGACCTAGGAGTGGAGTTACTGAGTCATACAGTACCTGAGTTTAACCTTCTGAGGAACTGCCAGACCTTTTCCATTTAACATTCCTATCAGCAGTCTATGAGGCTTCCGGTTTCTCCACACCGTTGCTGAGACTTGTCATCGTCTTTTATTTTAGTCATCCTAGTGGGTATGAGGTGGGTTCTCTTTGTGGTTTTGATTTGCGTTTCCCTGATGGTTAATGACATTGAACAAACTTTTCCTGAGCTTATTGGCCATTTGTATATCTCCTCTGAAGAAATGTCTCTTCAGGTCCTTCACCCATTTTTAAATGGGGTTAATTGTCCTTTTTATTATTGAATTATAAGAGTTCCTTTTTTTTTCTTTTTGAGATGGAGTCTCACTCTGTCGCCCAGGCTGGAGTGCAGTGGCACAATCTCGGCTCACTGCAACCTCCGCCTCCCAGGTTCAAGCAATTCTCCTGCCTCAGCCTCCCGTGTAGCTGGGATTACAGGCACACGTCACCATGCCCAGCTAATTTTTGTATTTTTGGTACAGACGGGGTTTCACCATGTTGGCCAGGATGGTCTCGATCTCTTGACCTGTTAATCCGCCTGCCTTGGCCTCCCAAAGTGCTGGGATTACAGGCGTGAGCCGCCGTGCCCAGCCAAGAGTTTTTTATATATATTCTGGATATACGGTTCAAAATAGTTTTCTCTTGGGATCGTCTTGTCACCTCCTTGATGAAGCACAAAATTTTTAATTTTGTACAATTTATTTTTTTCCTCTTGTGTTTTGGTGTCGTATCTAAGAAACTATTGCCAAATTCAAAGTCACAAAAATTTATACCTTTTTAGGATTTTAGTTCATTTTTGAGTTAATTTTTCTGTATGGTTTTGAGGTAGGGGTCTAGAGGCTTTATCTTTGGATCCACAAAATAATCAAGCCTATTTTCTATTAGTTATTTTTGTGATTTTTTTAAAATTTCAAATATTGAGAGTATAAAATTTTGGATTTGAGCCTATCCTTAGCTGCTCATGAGATTTTTATTTTTTACTTTATGATTGATTTATGTATGAGACAGGGTCTCTGTCTCCTAGGCTGGAGTGCAGTGGGGTGATCATGGCTCACTGCACCCTTGAGCTCCTGGACTCAGCCTCCTGACTAGCTGGGACTACAGGTATACACGACCATGTTTGGCTAATGGTGTAGGCAGAGTTGTATAGATGCCTGCTGATTACAGTAATAACTGTAGTAACCAGAATGTACCAAGCAATCTGTAGCAGTTAGGATTGCCAAAGGGAATTGGGGAGAGAGATGGAGCAAACAGTTGGGTCAGGAACCAGATAGGAAATTAATTGCCAGGAGGGCCAGCCAGGTACCATCCCCTAGCACCTAATGCATGAGAAACCACTCTGCCTGTGGCCAGCTTGTTCCTAGGGACGAAGGGATTTCATTCGTCGATGAGTGATGTTTAGCAGTATGGTGTCCCGTTGAGGCTGATGTGTGGTCCTCGGGAATGGGCCATGTGCTTGGCCACCCTCTGGGGAACTGGAGCCTTGCTCCCTGCGCGGTAACCATATACGTCCATTAGGAATGCAGCCGCCGCCTCTTCGGCTCTCCAGCTGCTGCTGTCACATCTTGAGACGGTCACTGTACCTGTGTTTTCTCCCGGCCATATCACGATCCTCGCAAGGAGTGTTTTTCTTATCTTATTGTTTTAAAAAGCTCACAGTAACAATTTTATTTTATAATGCTATTAATTAGAATGAATAAAAAGTGAAAATCTCTCAGAATTATAGCAAACAGTAAATGCATACTAGCAATTAAGGCAGTAATTTCTGTTTGCATTCATTAAGAAACATGATGTAGGCCGGGCATGGTGGCTCATGACTGTAATCCCAGCACTCTGGGAGGCCAAGGCAGGCAGATCACCTGAGATCGGGAGTTTGAGACCAGCCTGACCAACATGGAGAAAACCCATCTCTACTAAAAATACAAAATTAGCCGGGCATGGTGGCTCATGCCTGTAGTCCCAGCTACTCGGGAGGCTGAGGCGGGAGAATCGCTTATACTCGGGAGGTGGAGGTTGCAGTGAGCCACTGCACTCCAGCCTGGACAACGAAAGCAAAACTCCATCTCAAAAAACAAACAAACAAACAAAAAAACAAAGAATCATCATGTAGTTAGAAATCTTTTAAAACTTATTTCTTTAGTTTCTCTGTGTTGAACTTTTTTATTAGTAAAATGCAAATCTTCCATCCTCATTTCAGATTTCATTACAAAACCTTGTTATATTTGGGAGGATTTCTGAAGTTTTCTAAAAAGATCTCCACACAGAAGGGTTTGCCCAGGGAGCTGCTCAACAGACATCCTTCTGAGCTTTTACTCTTAATCTTTTTACAGACGGAATCATTCCCCAATGCCTGGAAATTCCTCATTGGATTACTGTGTTTCAAACAGAGTTTTGTGAACAGCCTTTTATCTCCAAGCGGAAAGAAAGGTACTTGTGCATTGTGAACATCCTAACATTCTTTTCCTGTGGATGGAAAGGGCAAAAATCCCTTTAACAGGAAACGGGGGAGGTTGCTGTTTCTGTGGATTTACTGGGAGAGAGATGATAATTTTCTGGGAGGAAATTTCATTGTTTAAAAGATGAAGTCAGATTTCTGTTGTGTATGACTTAGAGGAGACAGTTGCAGAAACTCTGAAATTGAGGAAGGGAACTCATTCCTGTCCTCCCTGAGGGGGAAATCTGGCCCCTTCCCCACCCCATGAAAGTGGGTGGAGCCCCCAGGCGTAGGACTGTGAAGCTTGCAGGTGCCTACCCAGCCCCCTGGTGAAGCTGCCTCCAGGAAGGTGAGTGGAGACTGTTCTCTGCTGATCTTTCCCTGATGAGCCTGAGAAAGTACCAGGCAAAGACACCTGCCTTCTTTCACCTTTGACTTGGGGTTGAAGGTTGGCCTCGCCAGCCCCGCAGGAACTCCCGTCCTTTCTTTCAGCCACTTCCTCAGTGGTGGGAACCCTAGGCGGCTGAAGTCCGCAGGCGGGCAGCCCCCTCACCAGGGCAGCATGGTGCCATGGGGCAGCCGGAGACCGAGCATCCCGTTTCTCTTTCCTGCAGCCGTTGCTTCATTTGTAAATGGGCGCACTGGGACAAGACGGACTGGTTGTGCCTTTCAGTTCTAAGATTCTAGTTCATCTGTTCTCTAAAATCCTGGCAAAAGCAGATCACTCTGGAAATTTCTTGCCATGCTTTGGGCATTGACTCGAGGTTCCAGGGGCATTGTTGGTCCTGCTACACCCCTTGGCAGACAGTTCTTCCCCGAGAGAGACAAAGTCGCATCTAGAAATTTGAGAGCATGGTGCTCTGATTGGTCCCTCACTGTCACATTGGATTTGGACTTGAGACCCAGCCAGGCTGGACGGGGAGGAGCCAGATGGGACATTCTCAAGCTGCCAAGGGCTTTTGTCCCATTCAGATTCAGGGCGCTAGAGTCCCAACACGGCGCCTGAGGAAAAGTGAATTGGGTGTCCTCAGTTCAGACCCCTGGGCACAGCTTCTGGTTGTTTGATTTAAAATAATCTCTCGGTGGCTCTATGGCCTGTGTGAAATTTTATTACTATTTCTGTGGAAAAGGAATCAGTTCTTTTTATACGTAGTTTTTTTTTTTTTTTTTAAACGCTTAAAAGTTTCGATTTTACCACTGCAGTTACAAGAAGAATTGTCTTGTTAGGGTTTACAGGTGTGCCGTTGTTCTCTATAACAGAAAACCTTTCAGTCTTCACGGGCTGAGGAAGAAGGTGGCTGCCCACTTGCAGAGCTGCCTGATAGAGGAAAAGGTGGCGTTTTATAGTCTGTTTTCTCCCAAGTAGAGAGTAAAGCAATTCGCCGATGAATTCCTTGAAACGTTTATTAAACTGTAAGTCTGAATTAGGAAAATTATTGTTATCGTTTCAGTAAGCACTTGAAATCAAAATGGGTGCACTTTTTAAGAAATTGTGATAAAATACACACACCGTGAGATCTACCATTGGTAGCATTTAGTGTATTTATAATATATAACACACATGGTGCGTTTATTTTTGGTTGGAAACAATCATATAATTGGGCAGAACAGGAATATGTTCTTAATGAATGCAGTAAGTGCACACCCGACTTTTTTATTTTCCAGAAAATTTTCTCACTTGAGTTGAAGCCAAAGAGTATATTTCTGACGCCAGGTGACAGCAGTATTAGAACCCCGAGGGGAAGCTTCTTTCACTCCTGTGGTTGTCATTCAGGCTTAGGGATCATGAAAGATTGGCTGGTCCTGCAGCCTCGTCCTGGGTTGCCTAGAATCTCGGTAGTTTTGGCCGAAGGGCTCATCTGCTGGCCTCTGTGGATGGCACCCTGAGGCCTCCGTAACCCTCCCCGGCCGCTCTTTCAGATGTGGAAAGCTTCAGCAGGCCACGCTGTGTCCATCACCCAGGATGACGCGGGGGCCGATGACTGGGAGACCGACCCCGATTTTGTGGTAGGAGCCGCCAGCCTTTGCTTTCCTTTTTCATGAAGTGGAAGTGGCTGTCCTGGGTTTTTCTTTGATGGGGTGGTGGTTTGTTGGTGTCGCAATCCAGGCTGTGAGATTGACTGGTCGGTTTTCTTTTCAGAATGATGTGAGTGAGAAGGAGCAAAGATGGGGTGCCAAGACCGTGCAGGGCTCCGGGCATCAGGAGCATATCAAGTAAGAGGCGTCGCCACCACCCTCCCGAGGGCCCCTCTGTGGGTGGAGCCCCAGGTGCAACAGGGCTCATGGTCGTCTGTGGAGGGACAGCCTGTGTGGAAACTGCTTTTATCTTCTTGACCTGATACCCATGCAGTAAATGAATATAAGACACACACATATATGTGTGTGTATGTAATGTGTGTGTTTATATGTGTATATTTCGATACTTAAGTGGTCAGTAATTTTTAAATTCCCATTGCAAACAATTTCCATATTTATAATTTTAGAGTGTCTGCTTCTCAGTATTGTAGCTTTTATCAGGGAACATGTTTCCCTAAGCTCTACCTTGCCCGCGAGAGGTTTCTGAAGTATGAGATGTCTGAATAACTAAGACCTTAAATGTCCTGTCCCTGTTTTTATTATCTGGAAATGATTACGTATTAATTGTGGGGTACTGTGAGCTTTGTGTTCTTATCAAAAGCCCAGAGAAGGGAACTGAGTGAACCCTGTCATTGTTTCTCACTTGGCACTATCTAAAATGCCAGCTCTTGGGGCAGTTTTTTTTTTTCATCAGGAAGTGTAGATAAAAGGAACTTTTAAAATGTGCCCAGACTTCTATTTTAGGCCACACTGGGTTCAGAGTGGATCCTCCTTTCCCGCACTGTGAAGGCAGCACCACTGACCCGGTGACCGCCTCAGTATCCTGGCGAGACTGTCCTGCTTGGCCACGGTCCCTTCAGCTGAGAAAGATTCAGTCCATCATCCAGAAAAGAAGGCACAGTCTGCCCAGTGGCTTTTTATTTTGTTTTAAAAGATTTATTTATTTATTTATTTATTTATTTATTTTGAGACAGGGTCTCACTCTGTCACCCAGGCTGGAGTGCAGTGGTGCAATCATAGCTCACTGCAGCCTTGACTTCCTGGGTTCTCGCCTCAGCTTCCTAAGTAGCTAGAACCATGGGTGCACACCACCATGGCCAGCTAAGTTTTTTTATTTCTTTTAAAGACGGGATCTTGCTTTTGTTGCTCAGGCTGGTCTTGAACTCCTGGGCTCATGTGATTCTCCTGCCTCAGCCTCCCGAAGTGCTGGGATCACAGGTGTGCGCTGCCACACCTGGCCCACAGTGGCTTTTTATACGCAAGTTTTAGTCCCTCTCTGGCTTGCTCAGCGCACTCCCTTCCACAGAAGCAACTTCGGAACTCCAGTGGCCGTGCGGCTGCCCAGGACAAGAGACTGGAATGGGGCTGACTTAGGAGTCTGCTGTGGCCTTGGGTATTTGCTATGGCATTAAGCAGACTCCTGAATTTGTTGAGTCATCGTACCTCTTCTCATCTCTTCTGTTCCCTGTAGCTTCAAAACATGTCTTGGAGGGTGGCTTGGAGAAAAAACAACTCTCCAGTACAAAAGCCTCGGGCGGCTTAGAATTCAGAGAGGAGCGCGTGGGGAATGAGCCCATTCTTCATGCTCTGGGCCTTCCCAGGTTTTAGGAGTGGCGTCTTTCTTTCCCTGCTCATCAGGGTATTGGGCGGTTTCTGAGCCTGGTTTGCATTTCATCCTCAATTCTAGCATTGTTGTCCAGATGTCGAAGGTGGCGGCCTGGTGTCTCCTGGGCAGAAAGTGTGAATGCCAGAGTGGCCTTCATACCACGCTGGGGTCTCTCAATGACAGCTGTGTCCTGCCTGCCAGATTTGAGCACACCTTGTCATCTGTTTCATCATCTGCTATATTAAAAATTTTCAGTGGCGTTTAGATGTTAAATTCTGAAACGCTTTCCTCACGTCTTTGAATGTATAAAAAAGCTGGAGTACTTCAAGTACGGACGAGCCATCTACATGTGCAGCACCACCGGACTTCTGCCAGTGACTGGGAAAGGGGGTGTAGCCCCGTGTTCCCCTCTACAGACTGGCTTTCCTGTTCTCTGCATGTGAATGAAGGCCGGGTTTGGGTAGAGCCATCTTCAGCGGGGATTTGGGATGACCCCACTGTCTCCCTTCAGATTCGCGTTCTGTCTCCCACGGAGCGTGCGTCTGACACTGCGGACTGCCGAAGTGGGTGTACCAGCCGGCAGAATAGTCAGGAAGGCACAGTGCAGGGCGAGAATTGGTGGACATCAGACAGGCAGATTTACAAAGATAATGTCGCCTGCTCTTATTTATGACACCGGGAGGCAAAGCTGCACATCTGTTGATTGATTTGTTCCTATTTCCATCTCTTCCTTCGAGCATCCACAAGCTGAGGGAGAATGTCTTTCAAGAACATCAGACCCTTAAGGAGAAGGAGCTTGAAACGGGACCCAAAGCCTCCCACGGCTATGGAGGGAAATTTGGTGTGGAACAAGACCGAATGGATAAGGTGAGTGGCCCGCGGCTGCCTGTGCCAGGCTCCTGGTGCGCTTGGACCACTCGACTGAGTGGCAGAGTCATCCCTCAGACTTTCCTTAGATCAGCAGTTCTGAGTCAATCTGCTGAGGCTGAGATTTGCCCAGAGTAGACCCCTGTTGATTGGACTTGCTCGTGAAGTACTGTAGCTTTCTTCAAAGCTCGCTGAGAACCCTCAGAGGTGCTGGAGCACGGGTGGTATGTGGGGAGGCCCAGAGCGGGAGACTGGCCCTCAGAGGCAGCCTTGTGATCAGGACAGAAGTCCGGAAGCATCGTGGCTCCAGGTGTCATCATTGTCAGTGCCTCTGGTTCCAGCTTGCAGCCTAAGTCATGCCAGTCCGAAGACCAAAGTCAAATCCGTAGGCCCCCATGGTTCACAGCACACACGGAAATTCAACCAAAGGCCTAGCTAACGTGCTTCATGCCTTCAGTGACTGTCAGAGCAGTCTGTCCCTTGTCTAAATGGGGCGCCCACCAGGCTGGGGACAGTGCTCGCTCTGTTTGAGAGGTCTGGGAGAGCCTCCCGGGAGCCATCATTGATGGGATGCAAACTGCCGTGCAGACGTTGATTGAGGACGTTGGCCAAATGCCTCCAGCTCCACCCGTACTTTAGGTCCTCTCTACCCTAAGAAAGGGAGCCCCGTTAGCTCAGGGGGGCTGCCTTTTCCTTCCTGGAGAGAGGATGGAAGGGATTGTGGTGTGTTTGCATGTTTCTTCAGTAAAACAGACATCCTGGAGGTGAACTTTTGAGTCTGAGCGACATAAGCTTGTTCTGACCTGACAGATGCTTGCCTTTACCCTGTGGAAAGAAGTGTTTCAGCCAGTGTCGGATTCCAGGCGGTAATTCCATACCTCTCCCACCTCATGCGCCAGCCGGATGAACATCTGAGCTGGGCACAGGGTGACGTTGCCGTGTTACAGTGAGCTGCACCTTGCTCTGTCCCCTGCAGAGTAGATGATGTGGTGGGCTGGCAGGGCACCCCAAACCACAATCATAAATAGCCTGGGGGAGGAGTGGGGTGAGGGACCATCTGCAGGAAGGAGACACGGATGTTGCTGTGTCACTACCACAGAGATGCGCTGACACTGAGGAGAGCAGTGTGTGCAGAATCATCATCTCTGGAGTCTAAAAAAAGTCCGCTAGCTTTTAGGAGTGTAAACGGGCAGACGGACCCCTGTGTTCAGTGCAGTGAGCGAAGCATGTGTTCAGTACAGTGAGCGAAGCATGTGCAGACGGACAGACGGAATCCATGTGTTCAGTGCAGAGAATGAAGCATGTGCAGAGCGGACAGACAGTCCATGTGTTCAGTACAGTGGCCGAAGCATGTGCAGACGAGACGGAGGCCCAGGAATCCATGTGTTCATGTGTTCAGTACAGTGAGCGAAGCATGTGCAGACGGACAGACGGAATCCATGTGTTCAGTGCAGAGAATGAAGCATGTGCAGACGGACAGACAGAATCCATGTGTTCAGTGCAGTGAGCGAAGCATGTGCAGACGGACAGACGGAATCCATGTGTTCAGTACAGTGAGCGAAGCATGTGCAGACGGACAGACGGAATCCATGTGTTCAGTGCAGTGAGCGAAGCAAGTCGGTAGAAGCCTTTCCCACCGCAGACTGAGGCAAGCCCTGTGCTTACAGGGCTTGTGGGGAGTTAGTGCAGAGAGAAATTTATTCTAAAAATGGGGCTCCCTGCTCTGGGTTGGGAAAATTACATACTGGGGAAAAGAAAGGCAATGTGTCAGGGAAAGCCTGGTAGGGAAGCTGTTGTGGCTTCTCTGCTGCTGCTTGGACTGCACCTTTTTTCAGCCTGAATCTCGCTCACCCTGGAACCTGCAACTTAGGCCTTCTGGAGTGCCAGGCTCCCTGGAAGAGCCCTCACTTCCCTCTCTCCTGTGCCGTCTCCATGGCAGCCTCTGCTTCCCTCGTCAGCTGTCCTTGCCTCATCCTGCTGTCCTTCCCAGGGAGACTCCCCTCTGGGCTGGGCTTTTCAAGGGTCGGGACTTGTCATCCTCTCCTCGTGCCTGGCCCTATGCCATGAGCCCCACCTCTTAGGCCAGTGCGCTCCTGGAGCCCAGGAGGCTTGTGGAGCCTTGCTGTCACCTCTTAGCCGACAAGCTGGAGAGCTATCCTGGCAGGGCGAGTCCAGCAAGGGGTGCTGCAGCTGCTCAGTCCCGACTGGCATCTGGGCCAGGTTAGCTCTCAGCTCGGGTCAGCACCACGGGACAAATATGTTGTCAAAAATAACTCAGGGCCAGGTACGGGACTCACATCTGTAATCACAGCATTTTGGGAGGCCGAGGCAGGAGGATCTGATGAGCCCAGGAGTTTAAGACCAGCCTGGGCAACATAGCAAGACCCCGTCTCTACAAAAACATAATTAACTGGACGTGGTGCACACCTGCAGTCCCAGCTGCTTGGGAGGCTAAGCAGGGAGGATCACTTGAGCCCAGGAGGTGGAGGCTGCAGTGTCCTATGATCGCACCATTACAGGCCAGCCTAGGCGACCCCGTCTCAGGAAATAAATAGATTAAACTCAGATTCCAAACTGAAGGGGAAATGGCTTAAGTTATTTGTAACTTGCCCACTTCAGAAATTAAAAAAATAATAAAAAATTGAAATCTCTGCGTTAAGAGTTGAGGAATATGTGCTAGAGACTTCCAGAAAAAAAGAACACATTGAGGGCAAGCACACATGAGAGGAGCCTGGACGGGCTGTCCGGATTCTGTTTACGCTGGGGCCTGAGCACGCTGCACCTTTCCCTTGCGACCGGCGGTGGCTACATCCATCACGCGGGGCAGGCTTCCTGCTTGCTCCCGTGTCTCCTTGCATCCCGTAGCCGAGTGTACACATTCAGGCTTCAAGATACAATCTCCCCAGCATGACTGTTTAATAACGTGTGATTTCGTCAATGTAAAGTCAAATGCAATTTTGGAGATGAATCCCTTTCCATCAAAAAGTTGGAAACTTTGCCTCGTTGTCATTCTGGGCATGTCTTTAGATCCGTTTTCCTATAACTTCCTTCTGATGAAAACTCATGCTGGGGAATCCGTTTGGCACGTCTGTCTCTGCCACTCCTTCATCTCTGTTTTCTGGGTGGGACCCCAGAGGACACGGATGGGCAGTCTGTGCCACAGAGGGTTTGGAGGTGACGGCTCGTGTGGATGAGGAGTCAGCTGCCGACCTCAGAACAAACGTGGGAAGAAGAGGGCGCGGCACAGGCCCGAGGCTTAGGGCAAAGCCTGCTTTTCATTCGGGGAAAGAGTGGACGCGCTCTGAGTTGCCTGCTGTGTCAGCGCCGGTGTGGGATGCTGCTCGGGTTAGTATGAGCGGCTCCGCATACTAGAGGGAGTGAGAAGACGGGTCCCGGTGTGCCGTGGGCTTTCTCCACGCCGTCTGCTGGGCCACATGCCTGCACTGTGCGTGAAGGAGGCCTTGACCCGGCTCTGCTGTCAGCAGGGAGCCTCAGAACCCCGGGGCCTTGGTGTGCCCGAGCGTGGGACTGTCAGGGCTGGAGCAGGGCCGGTGCCTTGAGGTGGGAGATCTTGTCTGCTTTGTGGACCAGAGGGTCTCATCGGAACTGCCGAACAGAGTTGCGGAATCACAAAAGCAGCTGTGGACAGCACACCTGTGGATGGGATGTGGCTGTCCCAGAGGCGTTATTTACAGAAGAACTGGGCACCGGGTCTGGAAAGCCCAGGGGAACCCTCGGCTTTACCTGCTGGCTTTGGCGAACAGAAGGTCCCCAAACCTGTGTGCGCTGATGGGGGCTGACGACATTAATGATGCTGAAGCGAGCTGGCGCTGGGGCCGGCACCTGGCTCCTGCCTGAATGGGGTGCTGCTCAGCAGAAATCGAATATGAGCCTGTGTTTTGCAGACTATTTTTTGTGCTGATTCTTGGGTCATGTGATTCGCAGAGGTCCCACTTCGGTAAATGCCAGCAGCCTCCACACCGGCGGGTCTCACAGATCCTGCCACAGGCCACCAGCTCTGTATCCCTTCTTTATGCCCAGCGGTGTCCGACATCCCCACTGGTGGCCCCAACCTGTGGCCAGGGGTCGTGTGCAGCTTCCAGGAGCCCAAGGGCTGGGGTGGGCCATGAAAGCCTGCACCAAGGACCTGGACCTCCCAGGAGTCGGGCCCCCTCCTTGGCTCCCCAGATGGGTGTGTTCATGTAAGGTTTCCCTGCACTGAGCAGGAGGTGGCCTCCCCAGCCCTGCTCTGGGAGGAAGTGAAGCGCCGCAGTGTCGTCAGTGTCTAATGCTTTGTGTTTGAACCCTGTTCCAGTCAGCTGTCGGCCACGAATATCAGTCAAAACTTTCCAAGCACTGCTCACAGGTAGACTCGGTCCGCGGCTTCGGAGGCAAGTTTGGTGTCCAGATGGACAGAGTTGATCAGGTGAGTGATGTGGTGCTGGGGCTGGGGGAGGGTTGGGGCAAGGGGAAGCGTTCCCCGTAGATCTGAGCCATATTGAGCCACTTGTAGTGGCAGGCAGGTGCCCTCCAGCTCTGTGGGACTGCAGAGAGGGGCATCTCGCTCCCAGGATGCTCTGAGAGCCTGGGCCCAGGGAGAGGACGCGGGACGCGGAGGGCTTGCTACAGCAGTCCCTGCGGTCACTCTTCACTACGTGCCCCAGTACTGGACGGCCCTGTGTCTGTCCAAATGTGCCAGCAGGGACCATTGCTGCCCGTGTTTCTCACGTGTGTGCTACTGTGACAGAGTAGCCTCAGAGCCTGTTCCGGGGAGCGCTCGTTGCGTCCAGGACTCAGGCTTTGCGTCCAGATGTTGTTGCAGTCATCCTGGGCCCAAGCCTCTTCTCTGATTCTCTTCAGCCTGGGGCTGGCGGCTCTTTTGTTTAATAGAGGAGGGATCAGGAGCCTGGAGGGAGCAGGGAGCTGATGCTGGTGGCAGATTGTGGCTTTGTGACATATTAGCCACGGTTCTGAATTTATGTGTCTGTGAAATGAGGGGGATGATCACACCTCTCTCACGGGTGTGCTCAGATGCCCACCGCAGTGCCTGACTGGTGGGAGTGCACCCCTGGTGGCCACTGCTATTCCTGTTATTAATATTAATGTTCTCAGCATGACTTATTTGAGAAGCGAGTTTTCGTGAAACCTGTGGAATGAATCGGCTGAGGACGCCCTGCCGCCACGTGCTAGGGAGGGCAGGTCGCCCACTGGGCCTTGCGGAACGTTTGTTGTCCTGTCCGTTTAGGATGCCATAGCTCTTGCGTTACTGCCACCTGTACCTGGCTTAGGAACCCAGAGGTCACAACATAACGTGTTTCATGTTTTTTAAAGTTTCATGTAATTCAGAGAGATTGTTTCAGGGACATTGAAAAAATGTATTTCTGCCCACTCTTTAATGTGTTTTTGGTCATCACAGTCTGCCGTAGGCTTTGAATACCAGGGGAAGACTGAGAAGCACGCCTCCCAGAAAGGTAAGACGCGAAAGGCGCGGAAAGAGGCCGGCGCTCCAGGGGCCCTGATGGGGAGAGTCACGGCCACCTGAAGCCGTTTCCCAAGCGGTTTCTGTTGCCACAAGGAGGACTCTGCCCTCCTCTTCATGTTTCTGGATCATCCGGATGCCACATGACGGATGCATTCCCCGTTACACAGCCTCCTTGGAGCCCTGGCATCTGCTGTCATTGTGGAGCCTCCCGCTTTAGCGGAAGCTGCCCTCCCTTCATCTGGGCAGTGCTCCTCCTGGAGAAGAGAGCGCTCAAATTTATCAGCAAAAAGCTAACTTCCCCCTCTAAGGATAGAAACCAGAGTTGTTAAATTCTTGTTTTCATTATACACATACGGTCTTAACTGCTGGTGATTAATCTTTATTACATCATACCATCTCTTTTTGAAAGACCAAAGCATATCGCTACCTTAAAGTTGGCAGTTTATTTTTTGCAAGCTTATTTAGTTCTTCCTCTTTAGTGTCATTGCATCATCCGGGGGAACAAGCTCTCAGTCCTTAAGCAGTCTCGGTGCAGTCCAGGTGGAGGTAGCTGTGGTGTGGGCAGGCGGAGGGAGGATCAGGGTCTTGTTTCCCGTGTTCAGCTGTGTGGCTTTTTTCATACGAGGCTTTCTCTTTCCATTTTTTTCATTTTGTTTTGTTTGTTTCTTTGTTTTGAGACAGAGTCTCGCTCTGTTGCCCAGGCTGGAGTGCAGTGGCGCAATCTTGGCTCACTGCAAGCTCCGCCTCCTAGGTTCAAACGATTCTCCTGCCTCAGCCTCCCAAGTAGCTGGGATTACTGATGTGCACCTCCACCCCTGGCTAATTTTTCTATTTTTTAGTACAGAAGGGATTTTGCCATGTTGGCCAGGCTGGTCTCAAACTCCTGACCTCAAGTGATCCGCCTGCCTCAGCCTCCCAAAGTACTGGTTCTTTGTATGAAGCTTTCCAACTTTTAGCTGAGCAGTTGATTTTCAAAGTGGGCATGCAGCTTCATTTCTGACCACACGAAGGAACTGCCCTGTAACAGCTGACAGGGCCCGGAACCCCACCATGTACCTGTTACGAAGCGGGTCCAGCGTCACCTGTATGGAGCAGTGGGTAGCTTGTTGTACATTGTAAAACGTGTGCTTGATCTGTTTGTGAGTTGTAACCACTACACACTTCTGCTTAGTTTAACAAAAGGGACAGTTTAGTTTGTCCTCAGGCCCACGTGCTAACTGCTGCCCTGTCTCTTCAGACTACTCCAGTGGTTTTGGCGGCAAGTACGGCGTGCAGGCTGACCGAGTAGACAAGAGCGCGGTGGGCTTCGACTACCAGGGCAAAACGGAGAAGCACGAGTCACAGAGAGGTGGGGCAGACCCCACGGTCTGTAATCATGCGTTTGCTCCAGAAGCACCCATGAGGGCATTTTCTTTCCTCACACATGATTGTTGTAGATTTTTTAACTTAAAATATTTGGTGTTCTTTTAGTACCAGTGTATGTGGGCTTTTCCTAATTCGAATGGCTGCACAGTTCCCCATTGTAGGAGGATTCCATAGTGCATGTAACCATTCCTTTTTTGAATGTGGAATTTAGGTTGTTTCTTTTTTTTTTTTTTTTTTTTTTTTTTGGTAGAGATGAGGTCTTGCCATGTTGCCCGGACTGGTCTTGAACTCCTTGGTCTCAAGCAATCCTCCACCACTTTGGTTTCCTTAAGTGCTGGGATTACAGGTGTGACCTGTAAATTTTTTGTTGTTGTTTTAGAGGGAGTGTAGTGGCGTGATCTCTGCTCACTGCAACCTCCACTTCCCTGGTTCAAGCAGTTCTCATGCCTCAACCTCCCGGGTAGCCGGGATTACAGGCACATGCTGCCACGCCCATCTAATTTTTGTATTTTTAATAGAGACGGAATTCTGCCATGTTGTCCAGGCTGGTCTTGAATTCCTGACCTCAGGTGATTGGCCCGTCTCGGCCTCTCAAAGTGCTGGGATTACAAGTGTGAGCCACCGCACCCAGCTGAAAGTTGACTGCAGGGAACATTCTTGTACCTTTGTTTTGCTCACGAATGATTATTCAAAAGAATCAACTCCTAGATGTGGAATTGCTGGGTTGAAGTCTATTGAATGTAAAATTTCCATAGATACTGCCGAGTTGTCCTTGGAGGCTGTGCTGAGTTCTTCCTTCCCCACGGCGTAACCTGCACACCAGCACTCAGAGAGTTTCCCAGGGCTGCAGAGGCTGTGGCCTGCCCGTTTCCCTGCGCCTCTTTTGTTTGGCCTGCACATTTAAATTTTTAAAAATATTTGCCAACATTTGAAAACTGAGAGCTTGACTATTTAAAAACTCAGATTTCTTAAAAAAAAAAAAAAAAATCCCAGACCAAGAAACACCACTGGAAGATCCGACCACTCTGGCTTGGCATTTCCCTGAGGAAAGTGCCAGTGGCGTGAAGGGCAGCTTGGCCTGCAGTTTGTTGCGGACTGGCCTGGCCTGGCCTTCCTGCCGGTCAGGCCCTGCCTATTGCACAGGGCTGCTTGCCTCTGCTCTCTGCCTCTTTCCTGGGAACAATCCATTCCTCCTCTTCCCACACTGCACAGTTGTGAGCAGTGCGTGCTCCGTGAAGCCGCGTGAGTGTGTGACTCCAGTGAGCCTGGGAGCATGGGCTGAGCACCTGGGCAGACTCAAGCCTCCTCAGATGCCTCAGGCCTTCTCTCCCAGGCCTTGATCCTCTGCATTTTTACTTTTAGTGGGTTCATGAGAGATTCATGTTTTGGTATCACAGTGACATGCTAAATGGCTTCATTCTGAGTAGAACTGGTGTTTCTGGAAGATGCTGTGTGTGTCCTGTTTCCAGGTAGCCCCCTGTTTGCTTCAGTTTGTGAAGAGTGGCCTTTGAAAGTCTTGCCCTTGTGCCACCTCCTCCCCTTAGAGCCTTATCATAAACTCTCATCTCCTGCTAGCTTCTGGATGCAATGGATGATGTTACAGGAATTCGTCTGCTGTACTTTCTTTCTTGAGACAGTCTCTTGCTCTGTCGCCAGGCTGGAGTGCAATGGCACGATCTCAGCTCACTGTAGCCTCTGCCTTCTGGGTTCAGGAGACTCTCCTGCCTCAGCCTCCTGAGTAGCTGGGATTACAAGCATGCGCCACCACGCCCAGCTAATTTTTTGTATTTTTAGTAGAGACGGGGTTTCACCATGTTGCCCAGGATGGTCTCGATCTCTTCACCTTGTGATCCGCCCACCTCAGCCTCCCAAAGTGCTGAGATTACAGGTGTGAGCTGCCATGTCCGGCCTTTGCTGTACTTAAAAAAATAATAAGGCCGAGATCCAGCAGAGCTGAGATCCAGCCACTGCACTCCAGCCTGGGCGACAGAGCGAGACTCTGCCTCAAAAAATAATAATAATAATAATAATAATAATAATAATAATAATTTTTTTTTTTTTTTGAGATGGAGTTTCGCTCTTGTTGCTCAGGCTGGAGTGCAGTGGTGCAATCTTGGCTCACTGCAACCTCCACCTCCTGGGTTCCAGTGATTCTTTTGCCTCAGCCTCCCGAGTAGCTGGGATTACAGGTGTGGGCCATCACGCCCAGCTAATTTTGTATTTTTAGTAGAGATGGGGATTCATCATGTTGGTCAGGCTGGCCTTAAACCCCTGTCCTCAGGTGATCTTCCCACCTCAGCCTCCCAAAGTGGTGTGATTACAGGTGTGAGCCCCCACCCCCAGCCTGTTTTTTTAATTTTTAAAAAATTAGTTAATGATTTAACTTAGAGATGGGGTCTTGCTATGTTGCTCAGGCTGTACTCAGCCTCCTGGGCTCAAGCAGTCCTCCCTTCTCAGCCTCCTGAGTAGCTGGGTTGCAGGCACATGCCCCCACCTCTGCTAACCACTCTTTATGTTTCTGTTATTACGCATAAATAGCACCTTTAAATATTGTCTGTATTATTCAGTGGCCCTACAGTGGACGGACCCGAAAGATTTTTGTGTTTTTTTAATCAAACGATAAAAGTCTTTCTTAAGGACTGCTAAGACCCTTGCATGTTCACTGATTTCATTGCTCCCTTTAAAGCAGTCCTTTTTTTGTTTGTGTTTAGATTACTCCAAAGGTTTCGGTGGCAAATACGGCATCGACAAGGACAAAGTGGATAAGAGCGCCGTTGGCTTTGAGTATCAAGGCAAAACGGAGAAGCACGAGTCCCAGAAAGGTGTCTTCCATTTTATCTTACCCTCCAGCCAGCAACTAGTAATGTGGCAGGTGGTAGCCACTCCGGAAAAGGAAAGACAAAGCGTTATTGACAGCCCTTAATGTAGATGTCTCGTTTTCATTAAATACCCAACTTGAAAACGGCACATCTAGAAACACGCTGCTAAATAAGAACTCGGAGCTTGCATGTTTTGGCGCTCCAGCCCCAGCGGCATTGCTTATCGTGGCGGCCGCGCCCGCACGTCCGTGTTGCCCGTGTGAGCCTGTGCTGCCTCGTGGTGCGGGTGGAAGCCGCGTACCTGGGAGCTTCCGTGGGGTCCTGTCTGGCTTAATCACAATGCTGAGGTCTACACTAGGTTATTTCCTGCCACTCTCCAAAGAGGGCCTCTTCGTGGATGTTATCTAAAGTATTACGAAAGATCCAGAAGGGAAGGGTGATTGAGTGAATCGAATGTGTTTAACTGTATTGAAAACATACTTTCTACCTGTGACCCGCACTACTTGCTAATGATGGGTTCTGGCCTTTCATTGTGCATGTAGACTATGTGAAAGGGTTTGGAGGAAAATTTGGTGTGCAGACAGACAGACAAGACAAATGTGCCCTTGGCTGGGATCACCAGGAGAAATTGCAGCTGCATGAATCCCAAAAAGGTACATTTCCTCTGCCTGTCCGCGAGGTGGTTTTGGAAGTTTGTCTTTGTTCTTGTGGGTCAGTTGGTGTGTGTTGTGTCTGCGTGTGCCTGCTGCACGTTGTTTTGTTTTCACTGTTTGAAGTTGTCCTGTGCACCCCCCACAGTCTCCCAGTTCCAGAAACCCTCCAGCTAGTGTAGTCATGACCCCTCCCTGCTGACACGGGGGTGGTGCCCCAGAGAGCTAGGTTTACCTGAGAGTGGGGGTGCACGGGCCAGACCTGCAGTAGGGGGCTGGGTTTACCTGGGAGTGGGGGTGCACGGGCCAGACCTGCAGTAGGGGGCTGGGTTTACCCGGGAGTGGGCACATGGGCCAAGCATGCAACAGGGGACCGGGTTTACCCGGGAGTGGGCACATGGGCCAAGCGTGCAACAGGGGACCGGGTTTACCCGGGAGTGGGCACATGGGCCGAGAGTGCAACAGGGGACCGGGTTTACCCGGGAGTGGGCACATGGGCCAAGCATGCAACAGGGGACCGGGTTTACCCGGGAGTGGGCACATGGGCCGAGCGTGCAACAGGGGACCGGGTTTACCCGGGAGTGGGCACATGGGCCGAGCGTGCAACAGGGGACCGGGTTTACCAGGGAGTGGGGACATGGGCCAAGCCTGCAGCACTCCTGGGATGCCGCTTGTTTTCTGCCTTCAGGAGGTGCAGGAGCAGCAGTGCTCCTCGTCCAGGCTTCTTGTCTATGAAGTGGGCCACGGTGTTTGGCAGGAGATACTTACTTTTGAACCAAAAGTGTTCTCTTGTCCGAACGGGTCCCCTTTCCCTGGGGAAAGGAACCTAAGGGGCTGAAACGCTTTGTGTGTGACCGAGCCCTGAGATAAGCAGGAGCGGGGCTGATGGGGCTGCACCGTCCGCATCTCCAGGGTCTCTCCTCCCATGTACACAGATACGCGCACGCGTCTGCAGTGTGGGTAGGACCCTAGGAATGAACTGCACAGCCTGGAGTGCCTTTACTGAATTATTTGAAGTACAGTTCTTAGCCTGTTTCCACATCTTGGCTGAGTGTCCAGATTTTAAGTTCATTCTTTAACGTTGACCTTTGGAGCCACCTTCTGGCGCTGAGCCTGGGAGTAGGATCTCAAAGGCCGTAAGCTCAGGAGAGCCCATGCTTTCTGGAAACTGTTTGATTTTTGCACATGCTCATGCAATTCTAACCCAACTGTGTTTCCCCTCTTGGTTGTTTTCCCCACCGTTGCTTGTGGATTTTCAGATTATAAGACTGGTTTCGGAGGCAAATTCGGTATTCAGTCGGAGAGGCAGGACTCCGCTGCTGTGGGGTTTGATTACAAGGAGAAGTTGGCCAAGCACGAGTCCCAGCAAGGCACAGTTGCCACCAGCCTCTTACCCCCACCCTCCCCCTCCCATGCAGCCACTTCTAGCACAGACTTCAGGGCTCACCGTCCGCACCTGCAGCACAGTCCTCCTGTGTCGCCAGTTGTCAGCTGTCAGGCTGTTGGGCACTTGAAACCCATTTCTATTAGAGTGACACTGGTTTTGAGTGGTTCCCTTCTCTTCCCCGCTTCACTTTCTTCCTTGTGAACCTGTGATCTGCGTATGGCAGGATGTACCAGTTAGTGTGTGGGTGCCATCTTTCGAACCCTGTGACCCTTCCGGTCTCTGGACCGGGGCATTTCCGGTCTCCAGCAGCATTCTGCCTGAGGCTGTTCTGCTGGTAATGGTGGCTGCTGTGAGCCGTTGAGTCAGGCCTTCCAGATGAGGAGAGAGGTGTTTGGTTCAACCAAATCGCTGGCTGTTTGACCAGGGGCTTCGTAGCAGCAAGGGCCAGGAGACAGGCGTGTTCTGTGTGGTTTCTGTGTTTCATTTGTGGTGGTGTTTTTGGCCAGGGTTGGGAGGTTTTTTGTTTGTTTCATTTGATGACACCGTATGTGTGTAACATCTCCACACAGAGCCACACAGTATGTACGCGGAGCCACACAGTATGTACACAGAGCCAGCTCTGCACCACACAGAGCCACACAGTATGTACACAGGGCCACACAGTATGTACACAGGGCCACACAGTACGTACGCGGAGCCACACAGTACGTACGCAGAGCCACACAGTACGTACGCAGAGCCACACAGTACGTACGCAGAGCCACACAGTACGTACACAGGGCCACACAGTACGTACACAGGGCCACACAGTACGTACGCGGGGCCACACGGTACGTACGCGGGGCCACACGGTACGTAGGCGGGGCCACACGGTACGTAGGCGGGGAGCCACGGTACGTGAGGCGGGGCCACACGATGCGTGCCCCAGCCCGGGGCCACCACCGGTGCGTACACAGAGTGCAGTGCGTGCACAGGGCCCACACGGTGCGTACACGGGGCCACAGTGCGTACACAGGGCCACACGGTACGTACACAGGAGGCCCACACGAGGGTCGTCACCCAGCCCCGGAGCCACCACAGTACGTAGGCGGGGCCACACAGTATGTACAGGGCCACAGTATGTAGGTGGGGCCACACAGTATGTATGCGGAGCCAGCTCTGCATCACACAGAGCCACACGAGTACGTACACAGGGCCACACAGAGTACGTGCACAGAGCCTGGAAATGCGTACACAGGCCACACAGTACGTACACAGGAACCACACGAATACGTACACAGAGCCACACAGTACGTACACGGGGCCACAGTGCGTACAGGGCCTGGTGCGTACACAGAGCCCACGAATGCGTACACAGGGCCACACAGTACGTACACAGGGCCACCACAGTGCGTACACAGGGCCACACAGTACGTCATGGAACAACTCCATCCTTCCTTAGAGCAGTTATGTTACCTTCAAAATTTGGACTTGGTTATTAGAACCTGAACACATAATTGGAAAAATAGTAATTCCCTAACCTTGCAGGGCAGACTCTAGACTTTTGCACCTGCAGCGTTGGCTACAGCAGTGTTCAGGTGTGGGCAGAGGCAGACACACCTGGGGTAGATCCCGCAGACTGCATGGAGATGGCAGTGGCTCTCCGAGGCATCACTCCTGCATGACAGTGTGACTTTCATGTGGATCTGTGTTGCTGCAGCAGAAGGATTTGGCTGGTAGAATTTCCCTTGGATTTTTTCTCTTAAAAGCAAGAGAGAACAAACTGCGATTGAGCCTCTTTTTAGCGCTCAGTAGAGCAGAGCACAGAGAAGCAGCTGAGAATAAGCCCGTGCTGGTGCGGAAGACATGCTATTGAAGTGAGCGCGTTGCAAAGGCCTGTCAGAGTGCCCTCTCTAAACAGCTCCTGCCTGCCGCCTGCCGCCCCTCCTGCCCCTCAGGGAATGCTGAAGCCTGCCCCTGGCCTGTGCCCTGCTTCTCACTGCCTGGGTCTACGACCATGGAGGTGGGAAGCAAAACTTGCCTTGCAAGTGAAGCCTCGCTTGGCCATTCTCGTTTCTTCCCGCTGTGGTGCACCTTCTTGGGCTGTTTCTGGATCTGTCTGCATGCTGTATTTTACGCTCGCCTCCGCCGCAGAGTAAGTGTTGTGTTTTGCCACATTTCAGACTACTCCAAAGGATTCGGCGGGAGTATGAAGTGCAAGAAGGATCGGATGGATAAGGTAAATATTCCAGACCCGGAGCTTAGTGTCATCTGCCTGCAGGGACTCTTGGTGGGCGTGGCTCACGGTGCCGGTGGCAGCTACGCTCGGGTGGGGCACAGGTGGTTTCCATCACAGTGGACATGATGTGTTACGTGCTTATGTCTGTGCTGTGGGATAGGCGCTGGCACTGGCCCCCCTCCTAGTTGGGGGCCCCAGGCCAGGCAAGTTCAAACACCCTGCTGGCGGCACAGCAGTGGGCTGGGCTGCCACAGGAACCCAGGCGTTTAACATGAGAGGTGAGAGCCTGAAGCTCATCCATTTGAACTTAAATTCTTAACAGTAAATGGGGTGGAACCAGTGGTAGACCCACGCTGGTGGCCGGCGCTGCCTGTGCCATGATGAGCCATGTCTCCGTCTTCAGCCTCACAGAGCGCGGGCTCCCACGCTGCGCCTGCTCTTGTGCATGGCCTGCGGTCGGGGTGGCAGGGTCAGTCCTTGCTTCGCAGCTGACCACACACAGCACCATCCAGGGGCTCGATGTAGGATCTGTGGGGCGTGGGCGGGCAGAGCAGGTGTTCGGGCTGGGCTCGCCAGGAGGCCGTAGCCTGGGCTCATTTCTGAGGGCAGGCGGGAGTTCAGGAGAAGGCTCCAGGAGACCACGGAGGGACGAGGTGTGGGCCGGGTGGGACAGGTGCAGCAGGTTCTCCAAAGCCTAGCTGCAGAGAGGAGGGGCGGGGAGGCGGGGACAGAGCTGGCCCTGGAGAGCCCACACCACAGAGGCGTTCTGCCACGTCATTGAGTGACCTGCATGGCCCCAGAAGGTTAGCAGGTAAGGGACACTTTGAGGGTCTGCTTTGAGAATCCGCTAGCCTCAGTGAGTCTGGGATTGTGGGAATGGCCTGGGCAGGGGTTAATAGTCCTAGGGGAGAGCAGGAGGGGCTCAGGTGTGAAGAGTAAGAAGCAGGGCGTGGTGTTTACGCGCCAGGGGGATGCAGGGGAGGGAGCAGTCGGGTGGAGGTGGGGTGGACGTGGGGCCGACACTGAGCTGAAGAACTGGGAGTGGCTGATGTGGGTGTCAGTGAGAGGAAGCTGAGGTAGGGCTGGGGCCAGGCCGGGTGGCGTGCAGAGTGGGGAGGAGGTAGGCATGCGGTCAGAGGACCCACTGGGCAGAGGAACCGGCGAGGTAGCAGAGCCTTGAGGCACTGGGACAGGTGGAGGAGCTCCCCCTCTGGGTGAGTCAGAGGTTGTGGCTTTGAGGCCGGAACCTGAGGGACTGCTGTGCTGTGGGTGTCTGTGGTCAGCATTGCTGATGTTGGCTGAGCTTGTGAGCACGTGGGGAGGCAGTGTAGGGGTGCCGCCTTTGGTGTCATTGTCTTTCATCCAGGAGGGTGGAGCTTCTCTCTCCTGGTTTGCTGTCTTGATGATGAAGTCAAAGGCTGAGAGAGGATCTTAACTGCCTGAGTCCCGTACATTGTGGGATGGGGCTACAACCCAGGCTGGGAGGTGAGTCATCCCCTGAGGGAGGTGATGTCTGCAGGGCCCAGTGGGTGTGGGTTAGTAAGGCTGATGGCCCTTGCCTTTGAACAGGTGCAAGCAGCTCCAAGGGACATGGAGTAGGCGGCTGGAGCTGACTGACAGGAGGAGGAGCAGGGAGTCCGAGGAAGGACAGGCAGGCCAGAGAGGGGCAAGCAGGAGATGCTGGGCAGAAAGGGGGCCATGGTGTGCCAGGGGGCTCTGGTGGCTTCTGAGCCTCAGGTCTCATGAAGTAGTGAAACTAGTGAGACTGGGGACGACGCTGGTCTCTTCGAGCCCTGCCAGTCTGCACCCGAGTCCTATGTGAGAGTCATTGCTGCTGTGGTCCAGGCCGGAGTTGAGTCCCCCGCAATACAGAAAGGTGTGACTGCACCACTGCGTGGTGTGGTGTGGAGGAGCGGGCCACGGAGGCTTGCATGTGTCCCCAGCGTCTTCTGCTTCCTGTCAATGCTCACACCTCTGGGTGGCGAGGGAGGGTGGGGAAGGCGTAGAGGCTGATCCAGAGATTGGTGTATGATAGAGCAGATGGAGATACATGTATTTCTTATGCTCATGCTGACTCACGGTTGCCTGCAAATGTGGTGGGTAATCGTTCTCATGCCTCAGTTAGTTTGCAAACTGAGAGGCCATGAAAGTGCTCTGAGGCTGTGTGGCTAGGCCTTTAGGAAGATCTGAGGGAAGGCATTTGCATCTGGTAGGGAGCTGCACAGGGCATGGAGAAAAGAGAAAAGTGCTTTTCTGACGCCCACTTCCTATCTCCACAGAATGCGTCCACCTTTGAGGATGTCACCCAGGTGTCCTCTGCCTACCAGAAGACAGTACCTGTTGAAGCCCTGGTGAGTCCTGGCTGATGCAGGGAGCACCGTGTGGTTTCCCAGGAAAACACTGAGGGGAAGGACAATTGTGAAACACAGCCAGGAGCAGACGCACCACTGGTTGAAAGTGTGGTTGTTGCTGCATATTTTAGAAAGAAAATGATCCTTTTGATAAAGATCCCTGCTCCTGCGGAGGTTTGAAGTCACCTTTCAGCGCAGCATGGTGCCGTTGTTTCAGTGGGGCCTGTTTAGGGCCTCTTCCCAAAGTTACGTGCACGTTCGAGGTCCCTCCACACTGCCAGTGACCAGCTCCTGGGAGCAGCTGGGGCCTGCCCGGCTCCTGAGCCGCTCGGTCGCAACTGTGGCGGGAGAAGGCGTCATGGCGTCTGTGTGCAGGCGGCGGCAGCGTTCTCTCTGCTGCTGCTTGTTCTTGGG